CGATGATAGAGTGTGCTTGGAAGTAAGGGCGAAGTTTTCGAGCAGACATGACCAATGCTAGAGCCAATTTCTCAATGTTGGAGTATCGTGTCTCCTCATCTTGTAAGGCCTTGCTAGCGTAGTAAACAGGCATTTCGACATTACCATCTTTTCGAATGAGAATGGAACTTACTACTGAAGCCGATACCGACAGATAGATAATGAGAGTGTCACCAACCTCAGGTTTGGAGAGCAAATGGGCTTTACTCATGTAGTCTTTGAGGTTCTTGAATGCCTTAGCACATTCATCAGTCTATGTAATGTACTTCTTACTTCCTTTAAGTGCTTTGAAGAAATGAGCACATCTATCTGTGGCTTTAGAGATGAACCTAGTTAAGGCTGCCACCTTGCCAGTAAGGCTCTGGATGTCTTTTGAAGTTACCGGCTCTTTCATGTCGAGGATTGATTTGATCTTCTCGGGATTATCATCAATGCCGCATTGGCTTATCATGAAGCCTAAGAATTTGCCAGAGCCTACGCCGAAGACACATCTGTTGGGGTTCAACCTCATTCGATACCTCTTCAGAATGGTGAAAGTTTTAGATAGGTTGGTGATATGTTAGTCAGCATGTTTGCTCTTGACTAGCATATCATCAACATAAACTTCCATGCTCTTCTCAATCTGTTCGGCGAACATTAAATTGACCAGTCTCTGATAAGTCGCTTCTGCATTCTTTAGGCCGAAGGGCATGACTTTATAGCAATATAGTCCCCTATCAGTAGTGAAGGCTATGTGTTCTTGGTCCGGAGGGTTCATGAGGATTTGGTTGTATCCTGAGTAAGCATTCATGAAGTTCAGGAGTTCACACCCTACCGTAGAGTTTATAAGTCTGTCTATGAGAGGAAGAGGAAAACTATCCTTCAGGCATCCTTTGTTTAGGTCGGTGTAATCGACACATATTCTCCACAAGACCTTTTGGAGCAGGAGACTTTCCTTGGTCAGATTCTTCTTAACAAGGACAACATTTGCTACCCACGTTAGATAATTGACTTCGCGGACAAAGCCTATACCTTTGAGTTTTTTAACTTCTGCCTTCATTTCCTCGTACCGTTCAACATCATAAGATCTTCGCTGCTGTCTCACTGGCTTGGTCTTAGGGTCAATACTTAAGCGATGACAAATTATATCGGGAGAGATGCCTGGCATGTCCTCATATGACCAGGCAAATACCTCAGTGTTCTCTTGCAAAAAAGAGATCAATGCCAACCGAATGGGTGGTGACAAGGTGGTACTAATCTTCACCATGCGATCCGAATAATCTTTTAAGATAGAGACATTCTCCAACTCTTCAGCGGGTTGTGCTTGCTGGGTGAAAGAGTCATCTCGAGGATCGTCGGGTTGACTGTTGCCACCATGAAGATCCAAGTTGGCTTCGTCTGGGCTGGTCTTTATAACTTGGTCATGTATCAAAAGGGTTTCCTTGGGCACAAGCAGGTGCTGTTGCTTGACCGAAGTGTTGTAACATGATCGTGTACTAAGTTAATCTCCTCTGATGTAACCATTACCATAGGAGGTTGGAAATTTAATCAACAACATATGTGTGGATACCATGGCCTTGAGATCATTGATGCATGTGCGTCCGAAGATGACATTGTAAGCCGTTGGGCAATCAACCACCAGGAAGTTAATGGTAATGGTACCTGTGTAAGGGCATGTACCAATGGTGAAAGGTAAGTGTATGCTCCCCAAAGGTTGCACGATATCACCGGAGAAGCGTATCAGATGGGAAATCAAGCAATCGAGCAAATGTTCAGCTACATTAAGTGCCCTGAAAGCTTCAGCAAACATGATGTTGACCGAAGCCCCTATGTCTACCAGGATTCGTCGTACTTCAAAGTTGGCTATGTGAGCTTCCACAATCAGTGGGTCGTTGTGAGGGTAGATGATACCTTTTTTCTTCCTCAGGCTAGAAACATATTGGATCCCAGTTAGGCTTTTGATACTTACCTCCCCTGATGTCTTCTACGTGAAACATTTGGTGGCCAGACCTTAAAGCTCGTTCACTTTTTTTTCATGGCCCCGTTGGAAGATTTAGATATGGGTGTGCCACCACTTATGGAATATATCACATTCACCTGGCGTTGGTTACGGTTACCCCTTGGAGGGTGAATGAGGAATTGATCAATTTTTCCTTCACGTGCCAAAGCTTCAATATGATCACGAAGGGTGATACACTTCTCGTCGTCATAGCCGTTATGCTCGTGGTAGCAGCAAAACGTGCTCGTGTTCTTCATGGGCTTGTAATCCGGATGCCTCAGCTTTGGTTTCGGTATCAAGTGTGCTATGCTGGGGTAAATGGCCACGCATATGGCGTTCAAAGGTGTGTATGCCTCATACCTCGGGGTAGGGGCTGTCCTGACACGTGCTTGACCCACTGTGTTGATTGCCTGGGGTCGGGGATTATCATGGTGATACCGTTGGTTATCGCGGTAGTGTCCCTTACTCCTTTTACTAAAATGAGACTGGTGAGGATGAAAATCTTTCCTTTTGCCCTGAGATTGATATGTCTGTTGACTTGACAAAGTATTAAGTAAAGCAGGGGAAGGCACCGCTGCCGTTTGGAAGGTCGAGGTCTTTTCATTTGGTTAGATCTGGCTTTCATTCCCTACTTGCTGATAAGGGGTGGTTGTGGGGGGTTTCCCTTGATATGTCCTTGCCTCGGCGAAGACATGGTTGTAAGCCTGTGTCATCACCTCAGAGTAAGTCTTCCAAGTGTTGGCATTGATCATGTACTTGAAGAAACAATCACGTAGGCCTGCCGTGAAGGCCTTGAGGGCAGTCTTGTCATCTGCCTCCGCGCAGCAAGAATACTCATGGCTGAGATGACCAACATACTCTCATAGTGACTCGTCCGGCTTCTGGCGAATAATGTACAAGTCATCTGCAGAATGCAAGCAATCGGTCTGGAAGATGTGTTAAGAGACAAACAGTCTCTTCAGTTCCTCAAATGAGTCTACTGTCTCAGGTGGAAGACGGCAATACCAGTTTAGAGCTCCGCTAGAGAGGGTGGAGGGGAAAAGAAGACATCGCTCTTCGTCAGTGTGCATCCGATATGCCATGGTGGACTCAAAGAGGTTAAGGTGTTCAATTAAGTCATCCCTTCCAATATAGAGTTGTAAACCAAGCTTTTGTTTTGTCTTTGCTTGAATGGGGTGTCGAGGATCCTCCTTGTAAGAGGGCCAGGCCTAGGTTGGTTCCAATCAAGTATCTCAGCTTGTCGTTCGGCTTTCAACTTGTTTACTTCCTTAAGAAGCTATAGGACAAGAAGGTCCCGAGTAGAGTCATGTACCACTGGAGCTTTCTTTCGTAAATCTCCATATCCTCTTGGAAGTATGAAGGTTTGATCAAGAGCATGTGATTTTTCCCTGAACTCGACGTACTGACTTCCAAGGTATGTCTGTCGGAACATCTCTGAGTCCCCTATACCTTCTTGTTTCTCTAGGACTTATTGCCCATTCCCCAAATTGGTAACCGGCTTGGGACATGGGAGGGGGCCGAGTCTTTCAGAGACCCTTGGGTCGTTGATCTTCTAACTTACATGGATGGGATTGTCTCGACGTTGCTTTAGGAAATCTCGACAGTCACGAAAGACGGCTTTCGATCCTTCCACTCCTTCTGTAAGGAGGTGTATTCCTCCACTTCTTCTACTTCGGGTTGAAGCAGCTGGGTTGAGAGAAGTCTCATGTCAATCAATGTTTTGAAGATTAGCTCGCTCCTCATCAGGGATACCCATGTTGAAGAAAGGCGACCCTCCGTGTTGGGGGGCACGCAGATGATGGTTGATGTCCACAAAGGTAACGAGCTCGCATGTTTGAGTACGCCTAGTTTCATGGAGCGCCTCAAAGAGGTTCTCATACTGCTCCTGTAAGACATCATTCTTCATTGCTATCTTGTTGTTCTGGGCTTCTAACTCATCGACTTTAGCTTGAAGAACAATCCTCTTTCCTTCCTTCTTTTGTTGCTTCGCACTAGGAGCAAGATGGATGTCATTCTGTGTGCTGTGGCTTCCTTCGCTCCCATGTTGGAGAGGGATGTCTGGTCAAAATAGAGTGTACGAATGGTGGAAACCAGCTTGACAAAACTGAAGAGAGTGAGAATAAGTGTCGTTCCCACAGACGGCGCCAAATGTTGATGCACAAAATCAGCGAGGACTTTGGTACAACAGAAAGTGTTAAGTTTGTGAACTTCGCTAGATTGCTTCGGTCACTAGCATGGATAAGTATGTAAATGGATAGGGACAGGGAAGCAAACACAAGATGTACGTGGTTCATCCAGATTGGCTACGTCCACGGAGTAGAGGAGTTCTCATTAATTGTGAAGGGTTTACACAAGTACATAGGTTCAAGCTCTCCTTTTGTGAGTACTAGTGAATGATTTAGTACAAATGACATTAGGAAATATTGTGAGAGAATGATCTCTATTTATAGAAGAGAGTTTCTAGTTTCATTCTGATATTGACATGTGTCGTGTTGTGATTGGCTTCTGATGTTGACACGTGTTGCGCTGTGATTGGCCTCCTGGTTGTAGGGAAACTCTTTTGGGTCCTTGACGGTATAACGTTGACCGGTGCTCAATAGTTTCGGGATTGGTCAAGTATGGTACAAACAGTATTTGTATATTAGTTTCACTTAGTTGAAGGTCTTGAAAAACTCCATTTAATAAATCCAAAATGTGTGTTCCTTTAGGAGCCGTTTGATAACCATTTGGTTTTTAGTTTCAAGTTTTTGTTTAGATTTATTTTTGGTCATTTATGATAACCTTACTTTAGTATATGTAGATTTAATATTACAATTTAGTATAAGTAGTGCATTTTATAGTGTGGATCTCTGAAAAGGAACTTGGTGGAAGTTCCTTATTACATTGTTCTGTCTCAGAAGTTGTGAATTATATGCAGATATGGATGTTGTCTTAGCTAGATCGTTGTTTTAAACAACCGACTCATTTTTTGATTACTTTTCAGATTTTACTTATGTAGATACTATCTCTTCATTTCTCAGATGGTTGACAAATTGGATGATGAAATCATGGCAATAGAACTTGGTCCACCTAATTTTAAAGAGGCCTTATAAGGTAATATGCTCTGTCTCAATTTTACAGAGCTCTTACATTAGTTTTTTCTTGCTCCTTTTTAACTCTTGACATGATATCAGGATGTTGGAAGAACCCTCTTCCGAGCACATGTCGAGGGTCAACTAAAGGTTAACAAATTTGTATATTTATTATTAGCTAACTCTTAATATGATGCCGTTAAAAAAAAGTCAATGATAAGTTGAAGGGTTTGAAAGAAACTAAAGTGGAATTAATTGGAACCGAACCATTCACTAGAAATCGATATATGTTTAGGTGTATTCGGAATACAAAGTAGTATAATAAGTGGTATATGTGGTTTATATTTTCTATACTTTTTCTTATAATCTCTTATGCCTTGGTCTAATTACTTTCTTGAATTTGATCTGTTTTTTTGTAGAAACTTGGTTGCAAGGCAAGTTGGAAACGCACAAAAGTTTGATCGTGTCCTATAGAATTGCCAGAGAAGGTCATCTCCATTTCGTGCAAAATCAGATTTCTTTCTACACACAAAAACACTAGGTAAACACGCATTAGCCTTATTTTGTTCATGATATAATTCTATTGTCTATAAATTTATTTCAATTTTTTTCCCTTGCCTGGGATGCTTCCTTAATGATCAACATAGCATAGGACAACTTTTAGTGTTGCAGAAAACAACATTTTCCATTAATGTTTTTGGACAGGAAGCAATTTGTGTTTTTTCGTATCCAAAGAACGTAATAGTTTTAATGGACAAAGTAGGTTTCTCTTTTGATATTTAAATTTGTTTCATTCATGATGAGGTTGTGTATAATTTGCATTGGCATTGGTAACTTAGTTTTTGACTCATATATTGTTTTATGAAGATTGAAATTGCATAATCTTTCATATAGTTTTCAATCCCGCAGCAGCGCGCGGGTACAAATTCTAGTATGAAACTATTTGTCAAGTATGAAATACGTCTCCATTTACAAACAAATTATCACTTAAAATACTTCACTTTTCCTTGAATCGTATGACAAAGATTCATAATTTGAAAACCACCGTTGCCACTGCCCTTTCCTCCTGTTGAATAATTCACCTATACACATAATGAAAAATAAGTTGATCAAACAATTACTTCTAAGAAAACAGATGCTTAGCAATTTGGTATATAACACTCTAAATTCTAGCTCTACTAGTAGACTCATTAAGCTCATGAACAAAAATGATTTGATTCCATGAAAACCTTGACATCTAAATGTCATCTTAGAAGAAAGAAGATTGCAATGCAAGATTGATTCTGAGACTGATTGAGAAAAAACATATTCCCTATCTCTACCACAAAATTTTTCTAAGATTTATGAAGACAACACCACTTCCTTTCAGCAGCTCCCAACATTAGGACAAACACAACTGTAAGTGCCTTCTCCAAGACTTCACCCAACATCTCTGATATATCCCCTTACAGTCATATTATTCTAACCCATAGTATTTAAGAATTTCATCATGCAGCCATAGTCTGACATCATTAAATTTGCCACATCAAAGATGTTAATCATAAGGATAATGAAATAAAGCACTTACGTCTTCGAGCTACTACTCCAGCGTTGTTTGGGCTCCACTCTCAATGTAAACTTGCCTTCCAGCTAAATGAATTGGAGATGCCTACATGGAACAGGGAAAAACACACTTTCAGGCCATGCACACAGATCATCGCTTTATTAAAATAATGCTTTTTATGGAAGCTTGATAAAGTTTACTAAAATATGCTAAACATCAAACTACAACAGCAATGGACCAACAATCCACATGATACACCCAAAAAAGGAAAACACTACAATCAAAACTATATTGTATACTAATATTATGCCCCAAAGACAACATAACCTCCTAATAGAGGTAACTGATTGAAGAAACAAGAAGCCATCAATCCTCATTAACAAAAAAAGAAAGGAATGATCTTTAATTCTTGATACCAAATTCCATAGAGATTGTCTAATAACTGACCATAGCCAACAAAATATCCAAATAACACAGATGCAGCAGATTCTTCGTCGTCAATCTCCAGATTCAAACCAACATCATTGACAACGCCTACCAATTCAAAGTCCAGAAGCTCATGTTCCTCGGCTCCTCCTACATTTACTCCAAGTTCACTCCACTGTCCATTCTTGCTTGTTTGCTTAATTTGGTTTCCTTTTCTTCCTCTGATGTGTAAATTACTTGGCTTTCTTTGATATTCTTGGCTGAATTTGGTTTTTGCTTTGTTTTATGTGTTGCCATTTATGATTCAGAAATTGGGTTTGATTGCTTTTGCAGAAATGGTGGTTATGGGTTCATGCGTAGCGAGAGAGAAGTGAGGGGAAGTATGGGTAGGGTGAGGGCCGTGAGGATGGATTTTATTTTTGATTTTCGATTTTTTAAAATAATATTTTAAATGAATTAAAATAATTTTAATCATTCAATATTTTATTAGTTTTTTACCATTGGCACAAGTTGGCTGCCACGTTAACAAAATGTGCGCCTTATATTTGTTACGTCATCACTTAACAGTTAATTTGATAGATTAATTAACAGAGCTATGACATTACAACAAATTCATAAATTAAGGTATGACATTGCAATGTTTAAAACATGAGGTATAAGATTGTGATGTGACCAATAATTAAGGTAGTTTTGTGTAATATTAATTAATTTTTTTTTTTGCAACAATAAAAAGGATTAAACAATCATCTTCATTCACCCCCTCCAGCAATCGCACAGCCAGTTCCTTTCCCACCCGGGTGCATTCTCAAACCCAGAACAACTATTTCCTAATACTAATTTTGAACCACTATAAAACCAGAAAAAATGGAGAGGTGGGATATCAAATCACACCCAAAAAAGCAAGATGGTCGCTCCTATGGACACAGCAGAGACAACCCATCTCTTTCGGATGAATGCAAGTTCCTGATGAATGCGAGTTCCAGCTCTTCGGATCCGAGTGGTGGGTTTTCTTCGTCCAAGTCGAACATTACGTACAGATTAAAATCGAGGTCCTCATCTCCATGCTACGTCATGCACAGGCTGTAAAGGTCCACCACCGCGCCCCCGTGAGAAGAAAGAGGTTGTGGGTTCGACCGAAAAACCCACGATCTAGATTTGAAATTCAACCATGAACTTGTTTGGGCCTGTTGCATTAACTTGTTTGGGTCAATTACAGTTCAGCCGCGTGGGCAGTCACTGGTCTAGCTGGAGTTCGAGTTGGTGGAGTTGGGATGGTGGCCCTGCGACTAAGATGTGAATTGGGGAATAAGGTTAGTGGAGTTGCGAATCATGATGTTGGATCGGCGGATCTCAATTTGGAGCCGAGGGATGGGGAAATAAGGGTTATTAAGTTTGTTTGTACTATAATCCCGAAACTACTGAACACCGGTTAACGTTATACCGTCAAGGACCCAGAAGAGTTTCCCTCCAACCAGGAGGCCAATCATAGCGCGACACGTGTCGACATCAGAAGCCAATCATAGTGCGACACGTGTCAACATCAGAAACCAATCACAACACGACATGTGTCAATGTCAGAATGAAACTAGAAACTCTCTTCTATAAATAAAGATCATTCTCTCACAATATTTCCTAATGTCATTTGTACTAAATCATTCACTTGTACTCACTAAAGGAGAGCTTGAACCTGTGTACTTATGTAAACCCTTCACAATTAATGATAACTCTTCTACTCTGTGGACGTAGCCAATCTGAGTGAACCACGTACATCTTGTGTTTGCTTCCTTATCTCTATCCATTTACATACTTATCCATATTAGTGACCGGAGCAATCTAGCGAAGGTCACAAACTTAACATTTTCTGTTGTACCAAAGTCATTACCGGTTTTGTGCATCAACATTTGGCGTCGTCTGTGGGAAGCAAAATCAATTCATGGTGCCCAATAAAACTTTAACCTCAAAGCTTCACCTACAAAACTTCAACACCAAAGCTTCACCTACAAGGCTTCAACACCAAAGCTTTAAAATATATATATATAAATTTTTTTCGGAAATTCGAAAATTGAAAAATTCAAAAATTCAAAAAATTTCGAAAAAAAATAAAAAAATCCAAAAAAAAAATTTCGAAAAAATAAAAAAATTGCTTAGGCCTCCTCTTATTTGGGCCTAACAGCTTTCATAACAAATATATATGAAGAAGGAGTTTTGGGCTACCACTTAGAAAGGAAATGCCTAATTCGTCAACTCCTTCGACCGGAGACTTGGGGGACTCCTACCATATGCTACTGCACCTTGATACTCAGAAGTCTCACGACCATTCAGTGACTTGGATTTTTCAAGTCTCCAAACGAGAAGTTTTCTTCACTCGGGAAAGTAAGGGAGCACTACCTCAACCAACATGCTTCACTCACAAAGCTTCAACATACAAGCTTTAACAAAAGGAAAAATTCAAAGAACTTAGTGAAGAAGGCCTTGATGTATTTAACAAAATACGTTGAAATGAAGCAAATCTTGTTTATTGATATCTCCGATAAGTTACAAATATGTACATATACATGAATCAAAACAAACAAACAAGTGGGAGCCTTCACAAAGGTTGCTCAGGAGAAGTCTCAGCAGTCGGCAAAGCCCCAGATCGAGGAGGCACCAAAGGGTGATTATTCGGAGCCTCAGTATTAGGCAGAACCCCAGAAGGAGAAGGCACCAAAGGTTGATCATTTGGAGCTTCATTACGCGATATAGCCCCAGAAGACGAAGGCAATAAATGCCTTTGGAACAAACCCACAAACCTCTGATGATCAAGTAAAATCTGACCATCAGATTCCTACAGCTGGTCGAGCTTTCTCTTCATGTTTGTAACATAGTCATGTGCAAGCCTATGCAACTGTTTATTCTCATGCTTGAGCCATCTGATCTCCTATTTGAGACTTATCACTTCAGCCGCCAATGATTCAACTTGGCGGGTTCGAGCAAATAGGCGTTGGGCCATATTAGACACATAACGTGCATATTGAACACTGAGAGCCAGAGAATCCTTAACAACCAACTTATCAGACCGTTTGGAAAGTAGTCTGTTATCTTTGGGAGTGAGAAAGTTCCTGGCCACCACCTCAGCGGTCATATAATTCTTCATCACAGAGTCCCCAACGGTAAGAGGACCAATAGGGGATAAGAAGGATGGACGCCATATGTTGTCTTGAGAAGGCATGGCTGCCTCTTCACCAAAGTTCAAGTCAAAACGACGGTCGGATGAATCATACATTCTCAGAAATGATGAATGAGAAATGAGGTGCAATAAATCTTTAAAGTAAGGGGAAAATTCCTACAAGCAATAACTCTCTGAATGTACTCCTTGCACACAATTGGTGCCCTTATAAAAGAAAAGGCAAAAGGGACGTTGATTCAAAAATCGAATTGGCACCACTCTCCAAATTTCGAAGAGGCACCACTTTCCACACGCAATATCAGCTCTTCGGGTACCCCAGATAACTTTGCCAAATATCTTTGACAAAGTTTAGACACATAAATTTTGAAGGTCCAGCTACCCTACTATTACCCACAAGGGTAAAGGAACAACACCACTGCTTAATAACTAAAAAGTCCTAATGTGTGTTAACCTTCGTGCTCCGTGGCAAGGCAGACTGGCAAAAATGCCCAACCTTTACTCACATTCGAGAAAACACTCCCAACATGATTGTTTTCTCAAAAATCGAAGAGGCACCGTTCTCTGAATCTCGAGAGCCAGATCCCCGACTTGATTGTTTGTTTGAAAACCGAAGAGGCACCGCTCTCCGAACTTCGAAAGCCAGATTTCCTTGGATAAAGCTTGTCTGCAATCTTCACACGCAACATCAGCTTTCCAGATACCA